GGGGGGGGGTCGTTCAGGGTCTTTGAAATCTGTACTGTTTTCTGATTGCATATAGACAACATAGCCGGCCTGGTTGAATTACCCCCGTTTTTAGAACTGGGCTATTAAATCAGAAAACAGCTGAAGACCACCAAACCCCCAGTTCTATAAGCCTGCTACAGAGGCTACTGAGACCCAACCTTGTCAGGCTTTCATCACGCATCAACAGTTGGAGCTAACAACAGCCTAAGAGGGCTGGCTTCTAGGCTGGTAACACTTAGAGCTAGTGATGCATACCGGTTCACTGGACTTGGATCCGGACTTGTAAGAATGTCAAGAACCGAGTCCGGACTTATTACCATAAAAGACCATTTCACATACCCCTTTTCTTTCCAAACCACCTAAAACCTTCCGTAGATTGTAAAATCTTTGCTACAAAATGAAGAAAACATTGCCATCGGGCATCGTCAAGTACCAGCCTCCATGTTATGTGGCCAAAGTTTCACCCAGACAACATTGCAAGGTTGCCAACATGCAATTATGTATACCCATGACTTGTGTATGCCATGGGTTTAGGTCCAGACTTACAAGTCCGGAACTGAACAGAACCTAAACCTCTGGACTTGAATCCGGACCTGAACCTAAATGTGACTTTAGGTATGCAGCACTATTCATCACACATCAACAGTTGGTGGAAACAAGAGCCTAACAGGGCTAGTATCTAGGCTAGTAACACTTAGAGCTACATCTTACTTTTCCCCCTGTAAGGCTGGCCGGGTACAAACTCAGCTGCTTCAGTCCACTTGCTCCAGGTGAACTTGGTGTCAGACGAGCTGGGAAGGGTCTGGTTCAGACCGGTTTCCTGGCTCTTGAGGTCCGTCAGTTTAAGAGAACTCTTCCTGTCTTTGCGTTGGAATGTGGGGCTAGGAGAGCGAGGTTCTTCTGGGGTTGATGAAACAGTCGATACATGGGCAAATCTGAAAATAGAAATTAAAAAAAAAAGATTATGAAAAACTTTTCTTTGACCCTTTGCTGACGTCACACGTGGGAAAAATCACGTGTCCACAGCATTTGGGTCAGATAGCTGAGGAAGACTGAGTGATTCAGTCGAAAACTTCTGGTGAGTCAAATTTTGAGTTGGAGAAAAGTTTAAGTTTTTCATAATGTAATTTACCAGCTCAGATGAACTTTCATGCTGATAAAAAAAAAGAGTTGGATTTTTAATCAATTCAACACTGAAGTTGGTGAAAGTGTATTTTTACCTCCATATACTGAGGTTTTGTTTTTATTGTGTTTGTGTGTGTTTGCATTTGTTTCAATATAGTTATTTTTACATGCTATATGTACATGTAGGTATGCAGGTCAGGGACATTGACAGGAAGTTAGGTCAATGGTCCCAGAAAAGATAATCTCATTTCCTGTTTTAAAATTCCTGCTACAAATACATACAATAGTAGATGCATGGCTGCTTCTTTGAATGAGCCAGTGGGAAAATGCATTCACAGAATTATTCAGTCAATAAGAATTTTGCAATTAAAGAAGAAATTCACAACAATTCGACAATATAGATTATCAGAAAGAGCTCACTGTAAGAAATGAAATCAGATGTTGTATGACTGAGAAATTTGCAACTAAAGCTCAATTCTTTTACAGATTCAATAGGTAACTGGTAAGCTAGTTTATTGATTTTTACGTGTATGATTGAATATTTCAGGAGGTATGAGATCTTTGAACTCTAGTTTTACCTGCACTTGTCCCCAAAAGCACACTGGTTCTTCAGGAAAAAGCGGCACACGGGCGGAGCCTTGTTTGCCTGGTCATGTGAGTACCTACAGGAGTCACCATATCTGCATATACCGCTCACAAAGTACCTGCAACAGAGCATATAATGTATACAGTATTTATATACAATGTAACGTTATATACTATTAGATACTGTAAAGTAGTGTTCAAGTCAGCATCCATCTTTCCTTCATTTACAGCTAGCTGTGTATCTAAAGAAATTTTAGGTACAGGCACACGTTAGTCTACCAAAAAAATTGCCCCTAAAATTAAAATGCAAGACCACAGAAGAAAAAATCAATGCTTAAGTTACAGTAACTGGGTTTGAATTTCAGATAATTCAAAACAACACGTTATAACGTTAGGGTATTAAATTTTCATGCAGGAAGCATACAATTTGAAAACATCAGGCCTAACAGTTGTAGGGATCAGTGAGTGAGATTCAGAAAAAAAGAAGCCATGAGAAGACCACAGCACATCTGCGTGCAAAAATATGTGTGGTATCAAGGAGTTCCACGGTTCGAGTTTTAAACCATGCAATTTGGATTTTAAAAACTGCAGGTATTTGGAGATAGGACGACACAGGAAGAACGAAAATTAGGAAAAATCCACTCAGAGGCTATAGATCTGAAGTTAGGTAATGCCAGGAAGTCTTTGGTCGCAAGAAAAACCTTGAAATACCTGCACAGCACAATTATGTAAAGTTCCTGCAATGTTTCAGTTTTACATACAAATAGCTATTGATTGAAAAAAAATATGCAGCTAACTGTTAGATAGTTGTAGGGCAACGAATCACTAAAAATCAGCCAAAACGCCTAAGTTTTTACAGATCCAGGGTTAGCTAGTGCCCAGCAACCTTTGATGGCCAGATTTTATCGGAAAAACCTTGAAATACCTGCACAAAACCTGCCGGGTCCAAGCCTGTTCCCGCGCGCCCGCCGCCGCCATGTTTCCTTGGGTGCCCCGCCGCCTGACTCTCCTCTCCCCGCGTACCCGGGGACCACTGGCCGGCAAACCTGGACATGTACACCGTACGGACCGGCCCGCTAGCTGGGTCGGACAGGAGCGATGTTACACACAATCCATGTACTTCTGTTCTTGTCCTGTCTTCTTTTCTTGTGATCTAGGCGGAGGTTTGCAACAGTGCCCGGGTGTTAAAGGGGGTTAGAGGTTACGGGTCAGGTCACGTGTTGAGTTTGGGCCAGGCCAAGTCAGTTTTACGGATCATGTCTAAAAGAATCTAAAATTTGATGCAAGTGTGCGAAAAAAATCGTTTCAAGGTTTATGGTTACATTTTATGGCAACATATTTTCCAGTGGGGTTGGTGGAAAAAAGGGTCCAGTCGGGATGTACCTGGGGTATCTGGGAAGGAAACCTGGACATGTACACCGTACGGACCGGCCCGCTAGCTGGGTCGGACAGGAGCGCTGTTACACACAATCCATGTACTTCTGTTCTCGTCCTGTCTTCTTTTCTTGTGATCTAGGCGGAGGTCTGCAACAGTGCCCGGGTGTTAAAGGGGGTTAGAGGTTACGGGTCAGGTCACGTGTTGAGCTTGGGCCTGACCAAGTCAGTTTTATGGGTCATGCCTAAAAGAATCTAAAATTTTGATGCAAGTGTGCCAAAAAAAATCGTTTCAAGGTTTATTTTTACATTTTATGGCAACATATTTTCCAGTGGGGTTGGTGGAAAAAAGGGTCCAGTCCGGATGTACCAGGGGTATCTGGGCCAGAAACCCCAGATTTGAGTTTTGGCCTGACCAAGTTTTGTTTGTTTGTTTTATGGTTTTAGTTCAAGTCAGTTTTATGTATTGAACTATTCAAGAGAATTTAAATTTGATGCAACTGTACCCCAAAAAAGAATCATTTTAAGGTTATGGCATATGGCATATATTTTATGGCAACATATTATAAGGAGGGGTTGGTGGAAAAAAGGGTCCAGTCTGGCTGTACCCGAGGTAAAATCATGTACTAGTGCCCATGGAAGAAAGCAATAAAATTGCAAGCAGTCTCACTGATGTGTGTATTGAAAAGAAAGCATGTATTTTATCAAGGACCTCCTTGATGTTATTTAACCTTGAGTGATCTTACTCATTCCATAATTTTTAAGATGTTCTGATTTAAACTTCTCACACAAAGGACTTCAGTGAAGTGTATTTTATTATCTGAATGTGAACACATAGAAGACATGCAAATTCTCACTTTCATGCGAAATTTCATCTAAATAATTGCAGGTGGCAACAAATACATGTACATACATTTTACTGTGAAGGAATTTTTGTTCTGTTCATGTAGCCAAGTAACGTTTTGTCTTCACAAATACATGTACTACAATGATCATATATCATATGAATGTATAGTGTGATGATTTTACAGTAGAGAAGACACTGCGTTTTCTTTAATTAACATTTTAAGATTCAGTACATTTTCACCAACATATTCTCCAGCTATAGTCTAATAAAAAAAAAACTTAGTATACTTTACTAAAACAAGACCATAACAATTTCCATTCCGTAATTGTCTTCACCAAATCAAAAACTTTTAACAGCATGTATAGTCCCTGACATCTTCTTTGATTATGTCCCTGAGAATTCTTTTTCCTAAGTCGTAGATTCTTCTGCGTTGGAAGTGGACTTGTTCCTTTCTAGTGTCTCCACCTGGAATAAAAATATCATATCTCAGGTTAATAATTTAGGGAGAAAAGATGCTACATGCATTAGGCCACACCAATTTAATTTCTTGGTTAACGGATTTTTATAGAAAAATAATGGAGCGGGCAGGCGAAAAAAATAAAAAAATAAAAACAGGCCTAGGCATCCTATTATGGCCCAAAATGGTACGATAGGAGCCATGAAGTCAACACACCAGGCTGGGTCAAAATTTAAACAATGAATTTTGAAATTTTAATGATACCACTGCATTGAAAGATGGAATAACTGTAACAACTAGGAAGAAAAAGACTGTTTTCAACTGTTCAGGGCAAAATATGAGCATTTTGCAGTTAATTCTGAATTTTTATTTTTATTTGCAAATCAGAAAAAAATGAAGCGGGCAAATCCGTTAACCAAGAAATTAAATTGGTGTGGCCTTATAGTAACATAGTTCAGTACCTAGAGGTAATCTTGGCTTAAGCAAAATTGATTTTAAACACAAAAGGTAATGTTTGCAAAGAAACTGCATAATGTTTAGTTTCATGTGTGGATGGTCTGCCATAACAAACTACAGTTCTGGTCATTCTTACTCAAACACATTCATACACATACATGTAGGGTGACCAGCCCCTCCAATTCTGACACTTGCTACATAATGTATTCTAACACCACAGGGTGTCTGCTACAGCACCATTCACCATGGTGACAAATGTCTGGACTAGGTCATTAACCCTAATTGATTGGAGGAGAAAGAGTAGAAGAAGAAGAAGAAACAGAGCAAAAACCATTATGTTTTCATTCTGAGAAGATAAAAAAAAAGCTTGTTTATAACATCTGTGTCCATTATATCATCAGGGTCCATATATCGCCACTTTGAGAAACAGTGTACTTAAAGATATTTTTACTGCAACATCCTTTTGGTATGTGCTCCTTCACACATCAAATGTACATACCTTAGGGTATGTTGCAGTAAAAATATCTTAAAGCACACTGTTTCTCAAGGTAGTGATATTATGGACCCTGGTGATATTATGGACACAGATGTTACCTGTTTGTCTATGGCCCTGAACTGCCACGTCCAGGCCACGTTGTACAGAAACTGGCGCAGGTCGAAGCGGTTGTCGTCGGGGCTGTAGTTTTCAGCGTGGACCGACGGAGTCAGGGTGGTCATCTTGTGGCGGTTGATGGAGTATGACCTGAAGAAATGTTTCACTTTTCCTGCGACCTGAAATTATTGAAGAACCACAATAACATCATTATTTATTGCAAATTCGTGCCTGAAAGCTATTGATTATAATTGACATTTTATAATAATAAGTGTCATGTTAAATACATTAAAAATATATAGCATATGACTATCATCATACAAATAGGAACTCTAAAGCTTAGTACACAATGTAGTTGGGTTTTGAAACTTGGCGACCTTCAACCTATCAAACAATTTTGCCAAAGGTCATTGACAGAGTAACATCAACTTTATGAAAATATTGCCAGATCTTCAAAAATAGTTTCCAGAGCAAATCCTACTGTAATGTAAATGCATTTACTTTCATGATGGTTTCATTTTGCAAAAGGAGGCTTTGCTCATGTTTGAATTTCATTTTTTGAACAATTTTGTGGTATTGTAGAAAGACAAAACACATCTTCGGGTGTTACGATTTTACTGTGAAAAATTAAACTACCACAAACATTTCAAGACTAGCATTTGAGAGAAACTTTTCACACAGACCTGTGCAGGACTGCAGGTGTTCTTCCATGTGTGGATGAGTTTACAGAACATACTGTAAGGTCCACACTTCATCATCTTACGCAGACGGCCGTACGTCGACAGTTCCTCATACGACATCCCCATGTCCTCCTGCGGGAAACAAGGGTTAAAATGTTGAAAAAAAACTCATTTTATGTTCTTAACCTTTCTCATGCTAAACTAGATATTATCTGTGTAGCAATACTAAAGCTAATAAAAAAGGTGACCTGCCCTGATGTGGTGTGTGTGGTATAATAAGGTTTCTATAACAATTAAACCATCGAGTGAGCAAAGCGAACAAATAGGTTTATGAGTGATTCATTGCTATGTCATTAGTTGTAATACATTAAGAATCTAATTTCTATCTGCAGCTGCATTTTGTATCACTAACATTTGAATGCTTCTGCAAAAAAAATTGAAATCAGTTTTAGATCATATCTAGTTACTTACCTACCATTGTCAACACGTTCCAATGCTTTCCAGATTTATATATATATAAGAGGGAGTAACAAAAATACCATGATACCTCATCAGTTTGGGCAATCTGGCCTTCAGCTAGGGGCTCTAGTTCAGCTGTGGGTGGGGCATCATATATTCTGAAAGAAAATGTGTCATTTTTACACATAGTAATCAACATTTTATTTGATCTTCATGCTCCTTATACTCAAATTTCCAAATTCCTCTTGGCACTGGTTGAACCTGAAATTTCAGACTCCTGGTAAGTACTGGGTATTTTGGGTTTTCATGACCACCACATTTCCTGTGTCTGACCTTTTGCCCTCCTGTCATTCTGCCTGTCAATCTTCCCCATCCATGTGTTGTTACCCCCCATTTCCTGTGTCTGATAATGCTAGAAGTAGTGCTGCATACCGGTTCACTGGACTTGGATCCGGACTTGTAAGAATGTTTAGGTTCAAGTCCAAAAAAACCTAAAAGTCAAGAACCGAGTGCGGACTTATTACCATAAATGACCATTTCACATACCCCTTTTCTTTCCAAACCACCTAAAACCTTCCATAGATTGTAAAATCTTTGCTGCAAAATGAAGAAAACATTGCCATCGGGCATCGTCAAGTACCCGCCTCCATGATATGTGGCCAAAGTTTCACCCAGACAACATTGCAAGGTTGCCAACATGCAATTTTGTATATGCCATGGGCTTAGGTCCAGACTTACAAGTCCGGAACTGAACCTAAACCTCTGGACTTGAATCCGGACCTGAACCTAAAATTGGGTTTAGGTATGCATCACTAGCTAGAAGTAACATTAACTGTGGTGTAGAACTCACTCCTTGAGTGCAGTGAAGCCAAACTTGTCCACACAGTAGCGAATGAAGGCTCTCAGGTCAGTCTTACTGATCCCACCAATGGGGTTGATATCTGCGCTGGAGCAGTCATACTTTGTCAGGTAGCCTCGTAAACTGGAGAGAAAAAAGACCAAAAAAAAGAGGACTTAACACCCTGTAAACAAACTATTTAGAGTTCTTGTGAATTTGTTGCTGATTCTGTACATATTCCACTGTTTTTTTTTTGTTGTTTTTTTTTAATTTAATTGGTATTTCGAAATACAAAAACATGTACAGACAAGACATGAACAAAGCAAAAAGTAATAACGTAATGGTAACAGAGAAATAATCCACGGATCCAAAAATACAATCGAGATAAAACAAGGATAACAGCAGAAAATGTACAAGCAGCATATTCCACTGTTACACAAAATGCAAAACTCAAGTTCCTAAGTTCTTTTCTGTACCAGCTTTCAGGGAGACCATTTTGACCTCCAATTCAACCTTCCTGTCAGTCTGTGGTTACAAAATTTCCCCCTGACTTCCATCACAGTTGACAAATGACAAGTCTAAATGTCTATTCTATTTCAAAATCATAATTCATGCATTTTGCAATCAAACATATACCGGTAGAAATTTGGAGTGAATCTTTTGAAGTACAGGTCAACTAAACAAATAATAAAATTCAATTCTACAACTAACAAAAAGGATTTATTTATTTATTTATTCATCTTAAGGACGTATGGGTTGTCCCTTCAGCCCCAAGGGGCTGATTTCCAAGGGAGCCCAATTACAATGACAAATAACATATAAAATACAAAAAGTAATATAACATAAATAAATTAACATAAATTATATAAAAATACAATAATAATCGATGGTCATTATGGTCATTATGGAGGTCAGAGGTCAAAATTCCAACTTAGGAAATAATAAAACATATGATAACTGAGAGGTCAAAATTCAAACTTAGGAAATAATAAAACATATGATAATAACTGAACGTAGAAGTAATGAATCATATAAACAAATCAATCAAAGTAATGAAACGTAACAAATCATCGTTGTCAGTAAATCGTCATTAGGTAATCAGGTGTCAGATCGGTTCAGTTTTCAACCTGTCTTTAAAAGCTTTAAGTGTGGGTGCTAGTCTCAAGTTACAGTTTAGTGAGTTATAAGTTACTGTTGCTCTGTATGCAAAGGTACGTTGACCTGCTTTTGATGTGTAATTGGGTCTGTGTAGGAGATGTGATTGTCTAGTGTGATAATTATGGATCTGGTTATTATAATTAAACGTGTTGAGTAGATAACTTGGGGCTAATCCATGGAGACATTTGTACACCATGACACAGACATGGCGTGTTCTTCGGACTTGCAGTTGACTCCATCCAAGTGCCTGGTGCAGTTCCCCCACATTAGACCTCGCGTCGCTTCGTAGGACGATTCTAGCAGCCCTGTTCTGCAAAACTTGTAGTCGCTGCTTGTAGGTTGTACTACAGTTGTCCCACACAACATCGCAGTATTCAATTAGTGGTAGAGCAAAGGTTTTATACAACATATTGGCAACATTAGTACAGAGATAAGGCCGCAGTCGCCTTAATAAACCAAGGCGCTGTGCCATCTTACTACACACCATATCCGAGTGGTTACTATAGCATAGGCTCGCATCAAGTAAGACTCCCAGATACTTATAGCAAGTAACCCTCTCTAAAGCATTGTCATGAATCTTAATCATCAAATTGGGAGAAGATTTGATCTTCATAATGGATCCCATTAACATCCATTTGGTCTTTGTAATATTGAGTGTTAGTCGATTTGATTTGAACCAGTATGATATCTGTTTGAGCTCCAAATTTAGTGTACTTTCTATGCATCTGGGATCATTGCTTGCACAGAATATAGCTGTATCGTCAGCATACAGAGTTATTTTACTGTTGGTGATGGCCTCAGGAAGATCATTAATAAATAAGTTGAACAGTAGGGGCCCTAGGATTGAGCCTTGGGGTACCCCAATGGAAATAGGTAAGGGGTCAGAAGTGCAACCATTGAGTGAAACCCTCTGCTGTCGATTCGTGAGATAATTTGAAAACCAATCCAATTCAGTACCCTGTAAGCCAATCCAGTTTTGAGGAAGACAGGATAGAGAGGGTGTGTATGTAGGAAATCTGTTTACCTCTCGTCCACATTAGATGACCCCAGAACCAGTAGCCCCCCTGGTCGGCCCTGTGCCCACAGAGACAACTGGGCAAACAGATACGCCAGCACCATTCGCAAACGGGCCTGCAATAATGACAAAATTGTCAACATTTGACTCCTATTCCAACAGGACTCCTCATATTTTGGACACATATAATATTAATCAAAACCATATTTGCATAATCAATAAACTTCAATTCATCAAAACGTATCATAAACTCTAGATATTTTACAGAGGTATGAAATCTTTGAGCTGTTCTTGAAGATGAAACTGTTGTAATATTTGACAGTACCTGTACATTCTGTAAAGCCAGGTTCTCTCTAGGACTTCCGCCGTGAACTTTGAACTTCGGTATGACAGCCGTGACGGCTGTGAAGATGCCGATCACAGCACTGACAGCTGTGTCTATCTGGATCGACTGGTGACAACTACACAAAATATATGAAAGACACAAATTTTCTTTTACAATTATTTCTACATTGTGTTCTCTAAAGTTTGTACTGTATTATGCTTTGAATAATACAAGTACTCATTATTGAAGATTGTGTTTTGAATTATGCTAACTTAGAGATTGATATTAAAAGTTTCTTTAAAATTTCATCAAATATCATGTACATTTTATGGTAAAAATTTGCTGTACTATATGCTTGAAAGATGATATGCAATTTCTCAAGTTCTTGGCTGCATCAATTTTTGTAGGACCACAATGTCATTATAACTGCTATGTAAGCTGTTGTTTTACAGTGTGTGCCCCTTAATTTCTAAGGATAGTGGTCATTAGGTCAAATGTACTGTTCTCAATGTTGTGCACCCCACCTAGTGATTTACATAAAAACTGCAGTCTTGGTGTTTCTCCTGAACAAGGAGGAACCAATGAGGTATAACATGCCCGTAGCCAGGTGGGGTTCGCCACAAGGCTCAAAGGTCCACTTTTTGGTCCACGTTTTATGAAAAGGTCCCCTTTTTTGGTCCACTTTTTATGTTAAGGTCCAAGATTTTTCTTGAAAAGATGGACTGGAATCGTAGAAGAACTGCTCCCTTTGTCATTGCATAAAAATTTATCTCTGATTTTTTTTTCTGATTTTTTCTTGAAAATCCTCTCAAAAACGCACGAAATGCCATTTTAGAAGGTTCATTTTTCAAACTTTTCCGGGGGAGCATGCCCCCGGACCCCATAGGAACCTCGGCGCTCGAGGTCCCCTCTAGCAGTGGGAACAACCCCCCCATTCAAAATCCTGGCTACGGGCATGTATAATCAACGGACCTGCCGATTTGTTCTGCTAACTTCTGTGCCCTGTTCCTGGTGGTTTCTGAGGAGTTCTCGCTGGCCATGTAACATGTCACAAAGATCCGTCCTGCCAGATCCCTGGGATTCTGAGGGACGTAATCTGGATCTCCAACTATCCTCTTCACATCTGAGAGGACCTGGGGATCTGGAATAAGCAATTTCATAGGATAAATTTAGGCTGTTTAAATTCAGAATGAGCACACAGGGTACATTACTGACAGAGGATAATGTACAGTGTTGGCAAAAACATTTCACATAAAAATTTACAGAATCAAATCTATTTTTGGTGTTTAATTCCTGACCTAAGAGGAACTAGAAAAGTAAAATTTGCAAAGCAAATGCATAATGTTTACCTTCAGACATGGTCTGCTCTGTTAATTCTTTCTCAAACACATTCACATACATGTACTACTACATGTAGTATATGGTGACAGGAGCAGAGCAGACCATGAAATTGCAACATTATGTAACCCAACACCAGTCACCATGGTGACAGACGTCAACAAATCATGTCATTGGCCAGGTCAGAGGTTAGTGTTTGGAGAAGAAGAGGAAATTGAGTAAAAACAATATGTTTTCCTTCGGTAAACATAAATATAGAAATATAGAAGGCATGCTTTGAAAGTGGAAACATCTATGTGAGACTATCTGTATCCATTTCACTAATCTTAAAAGAGGGAGACTTTTGTTTAAATAATACCCATTGGCAATCATGTGGAGATTACACATAAAAATGTAGATTGTTAAGAATGCATAGCTCTGTTAGTTCAGATTCCTTTTCTTGTTCTCCTATTTTGCTGTCAGCATTAACATGTACCCTTCTTGAGTCTTTGCTAATTATACTCTTGCTATTGGTGAAAGTTTACAAAACAAAACAAAAAGTATGACTGTAGAACAAAAACCAACAATGACTACAGCACTTACTCCCATTGCTGACAGCGTGACAGACCAGATGACACATGGATGACACGATACAGGCCGTGGAAGAACTGTCAATACCTCCACTCAGGGGAAGGAAGAAACCTCCCTACAGATATTATTTAAGAATGGAACATTGGAGATTAGAACAATGGAAGAAGATTGGTCTTTTAGTATGCCTAAAATGTACATTTAGGTAACATCTAATACTTCAGCTATAGTTTTGTTAAGTACTGGTTCATTATGTCAATGTGTACCTCTGTTCTCTTGATATATAATGTATAAGCATGTTGGCAGAACATACTACACCTACATGAAACTCGTAATGTATTGTGCACAGCACTTTGGCAGAACGTCTCATGTAAGGTCGTATTTGGGTATATAAGGTTAACATCCCGTCTCTAGTTTCCAAATGTTATGTCAGAAAACATATCCTCCACAACAAGCAACATGATGACCAAACATCCAACGAAAACCGTGAAATTCAGGGTTTTGCGCAGGCGCATTACGTTCTGCCGACGTGCTCAATGTATGAATCACTTACTAGTATTCTCTATTTTCTGTCTGGTTTGAGCCCATTTTTTTTTTTAAAGTTTAAATTAAACCAAATTTAACGTCATTTTTCCCCAACCAGGGGTTACACGTGCTTGCACCAAGTACAAGTCTTTTTTTGAAGCAGGATTTTTACGGCTGGATGCTCTTCCTAACGCCAACCCAAACCCTAGTAGGGCCTGGGATCCCTCTAACTGATATTGGCTAATTTTTTGCCCTGACCTGTCCACTTCTCCTGAGGTAGTCCCAGAGCCAACAGGCAGGGGCTAACGCTATCTCCTCCTCGGGGCTGTGGTACCTCCAGTCTACCGGCTCGTATGACGGCAGGAAGATGTCATCATCTTTAGACAGGGAGAAATCCACCTGCACTCTGGGGTAGGACTCTGACTGGGCTGCCTGGGACAGAAAAAGAAACAATTGTACTAATTCCTGATTTTTTCACTGTTCTCTTATGTTATTACTTATTGGTTTATTTGTATCAACATATCAACAACATATCTCGCAGCCTTGACATACAGGGCTGAATTCTGATGTTTGTTTACAATATAAATCATTAATAGTAGGGAAATACAAATTACAATCATATCGGAATCTACAGATTAATATATAACATGTTCATTGTTTTCATGGTCATTTTTGTACTGTGAGCTTATCATTACTATTATCAAATCATTTTGTCTCTCTGCAAACCCCTCCTTCCACTTGCCATCACTTGAAAATGTCCATTTTCCTCAGACTGTGAAATTTTGCTACCATGAAGACAAAAGTGATTCACAGTTACCAAAACCTTGTCTAAGGATCCAAAACATTGTATCTTATTGGTACCGGGATGTCTAACCTTCATTGACATGCCTTCAACTGTGTCTAAGTCTACATCTAGCTAGGAGCATCTAAAAGGAATGCAATGTTATCAGAACTGTAAAACATTAACACTGATTTATGTCATCTTTATGTTTACTTTTGTATTATGTTTTATGAGCAGCGGATTCACATAAGCACAACAAGTGCTTCCTATCCAATGCTCAAAAATCCATGTGAATAAAATAAATAAAATAAAATATAAACACTAATTCAAGACTGTAGAAAAACATTGCCGATGTCCAGGAGTATCACAACTAAAGGTGGTTTAACAAATTTTATGCAAACAAACGAGCAAACTGACAGCCCGCGCCCTGGACGCGAAGTTCCCGCGGTAACTCCTGACGTCCTCCAGGTCCAGCGTGGCGGTCAGAACTTCCACATCGTCCAGCGAGAACTGCGAGCCCTGAACCACGAAACTCCCGTTGATGGCGATCATGGAACACCCGTCATAGTACAGACGGTCTCCGTCACAACCCTTCTGGTTCGCAAACAGGTAGATACCCCCGCACTGTATAGTGTAATATAATAATTTATTAAAAAATGTACATAAGATGCTGTATGTATTGTTTGCGTTTCTATGTTTGTACCGTTGTTTTCTATGGGTGAAATACCTAAAATAAAGACATTCATAATCAAAGTAAGAAGGTGGAATTAAAAACACCCATGCAGTTCCAGATCTAGTCGTTAGGGGGCCCAAACTTATGTCACTCCTTTCTGAGATCTTGGAACACCCGTCATAGTACAGACGGTTGCCGTCACAGCCCTTCTGGTTCGCAAACAGGTAGATACCTCCACACTGTAACAGTACATTGTACATGTAAGAAGGTAGAATTAAAAATGCCCCTGCAGTTCCATAGCTAACTGTTAGGGGGCCTCTACACTGCCGTAGTACAGATGGTCACCGTCACAGCCCTTCTGGTTCGCAAACAGGTAGATACCTCCGCACTGTAACAGTTATCAAAGTATACATGTATGTAAGACGGTAGAATTAAACAGAATTAAACCCCTGTAGTTCCAGAGCTAGCTGTTAGGGGGCCCAAACTTATGTCACTCCTTTCTGAGCAGAATAGCTATCTGCCCTCTGAATTCCACGACCCTTGCATGTCCATATCCCAAGTTCTGCTGCAGTGCCATCACAAGCCACCAGGGGACCTAAAATCTTATCATTTTTAGGTCTCATCAAGACCTACCAAATTTACATTTGCGGAAGTTTGTTCATATTCACCTTAGCCGTGGCTGACTTGACCAGGTCCACTCGTACGTACGCCTTCCTCAGACTGAAGTGACTGCCGCTGGCGTTGGTGAAGATCTCCACTCCATCCAGGCTCTGGGCTATATGGGAACTAAAAAAACACAAAAAAAGGAAATCAATGATCCCATGATATATTTACAGATTTTGTGAATTTTTCACTGATATGTGATGTATTTTGCCCCTGGCTCCTATATATGGTAACAAACAAGCATGTAGCAGGAGATTGAAGACAGGATATGAGATAACCTTTTTCTGGGACCTTTGACCTAATTTCCTGTGCCCAGCATGCAGAAATAACTATGTATCCCGGGATACACTAACAGACACATTGAAAAGTTATTGATTTTGCATATTACTTCAATCTTAGATATGTACATTAATCATGTCTCAGCAATAAAAACATGGACAGCGATATAAAGTTGTGCATGTGCCCTAGACATAATAACAGCTACAATGTACAATGTACGTGTACTATCTTACATTGTACTTCTATGACTTGAACATTACCTGGATGGAGCCCAGAGTTCTTCACAAGTCTCACTGCCAATACAGGTGTCTCTGGTGGAAATAACTGCATCTCCGAACGGAACAGTTTTCTAGGGAAGAACGTAAGTATATTTTTTTATGATAGATAACCTTTATTGCACGTTCATGCCCTATCGGACTAATAAGTACAGGTAAACAGATGAAAAGATATATACTGTACATGTTTGTAGTACAAACAGGACTACGTACATACTGATACTAATCTAACTACATCAGCTCTAAAACTATATTTACTATACAATATTTAACAGTCAATATTTAATACTACATATGAATACCAATAGTATAATAACATTATCACACACGCAGGTAAGAAGTAAACACCTGGCATACCTGTCCTGTTATGGAACTGATCATTCTGGGTAGGAAATATTCCTCCACCTGTCTGTGGACAGTAAAGATGAGTCAAATATGAATTATTGCACAATAATTTGCATATTTATAGAAGTACGCTGATGCAAAAACGTTTGAATTTCGAGATTTCAATATTCAGGGATGTATTTGGGTTTTCGTGAATTTCAAGTTCATAGTCCTTCAGACAGTGTTTTCAATAATGCAATGGAGCTGTGGAGGAGATTGTGCAAAGTATGATGTAATTCAATCAGGCATTACACAACTTCCTGAATTCCTCCAAATACCACCCACTAACCCCCACCCAGAAGGCTTTATCTTCCTTTCAATCAAAATCACCTCCCACCCACCATGCAACTAAAGAAATTAGGACATACAGAGAGACAAATCCACAACTCAGCCACCCAAAACAATATTTCTCTAACTGGAAGAAAAATATTAAATTAAAATATTAAATATACCTTTGTTTCATCCAGCGAGTAAACCATCTTTCTTCTCGGTAGTTTCCATCATTGCACAGGTGCATCTTTGGACGAATCAGAAGGATCTTCCTGTAAGAAAGAATCATCAACAACCTTGAGTAAAGATGTTTCCACCCCTGAGCAGTTGCCAAAAAACATGCCTTCACAAGACATCGTGAAAATGTACCTTCTTTGATATTTGATAAAAGTGTCATCTTTTCAGACTTACTTGTTTAAGAAGATGACTCGGCAGTTGTAGAGCACGTTCTTATGCATGATGGGCCTGTAAGGTAAATAAAAAAATCTTTTCACATTGAGTGTATTCAATGAATGTTCTTAAAATTCCTACATTTGATCACTATCCCCCAAACCTAAAACAGATTAGATACATCAGATCTGTTGAAACCTTCTATATCAAATACATCTGTAGAGTTAACATTAATATTCAAATTAAGTACTATAAATCTTGAAATAATTGTGGGGGGTTTTATTTTATTTTAACAGGTTTTCTAGTGAGTCTCCACAGTAAAATCTTGACAGAGAAAATAAAGAGTTTTCCTACTACAGAATTGTTCAAAAATTACAAACTTAAACCACCACAACAACATTCTTTCCCCCTCTACATGTACGTCTAACTGCCAAATTAAGTCCTGGCAAAAATTACTGAATTTACAATGATTATACTCATCGTCTGATCTTCCTTACATGCCGACATCACAGATGATGTCCTGAGTGACAGGAGACTGGAGTAACATGGCCAACACCTCAAAACTGTGCAGCAGGGTGTCACCTTCGTAGAAATGGTCGGAACAACCATATCCACTGGAGAAGGACAATTATCATACATTCATTACTACTAAAATACTAGTATATCACTCGACAAATAAGATCAGTGAAGACCAGGACACAACAGGCCTTCTCTCCTACAAGTATCAAGGTATTATATTAATTAAGGTATCAAGGATATGGTGACAAGCATCATGATATTTTGCACTATCTTGTAATGTAGACAAGAAATCAGAGATTTCAAACTTCCAAGAAGAATTTGAGGCTTCCTGAATTCCCCCATGTCGATCTCTAATTCCTGCTGGGGTCCGACCTTGTGACCTCCTGCCTGTCAATCTCCCCCACCCATGGGGTGTCATATATATACTCTAGGCAAAAAAAACAAACCCCACAGCTCAACCCCAAAAGCAATACTTCCATACCCAGAAGTATTATATTAGGTGCATTGTAAAGTTTAAAGCTGGACTTACCATATCTCCAGCTCAGAGCCTAATCTGTAGGCTGCATTCTTTTTCTTAGCAATTTCAATGCCTGGAAAACGTAAAGAACATATGAAGACTCTCCGCCCGCCACCTTACGAGTCTGGCTCCCAGGGTACTAAAACACTTAACGTTAAACAGACAAAATATGCTTTTCTTTTTTTAGCAAAAATCAACATAAGCACTAGCCACAAAGAAGAAATCAGAAATTTCAGACTTCCACGGAAGTACACAACCCTCAGCTTCCTGAATTCCCCCACGTAACGTTACTGGCTCCAGGTCAGAACTTTGCCCTCCTGTCATTCTGCCTGTCAATCATCCACCACCCACGTGATGTCAACCTACTGTCTGGACAAGTACACACACACGCACACACAAACCTACAGACATACTCCCTAAAAACAATACCAGGTACAATAAATCACCATAATATTAGCAAAGGCATATAAAATTATGTTTACATGTGACAGCTGTTTGTTTGGGGGAGGGGGGCGGTCAGACTATCTTGAAAATTTCCGCGAAAATAAAAGGTCTGTGGACACTTGATTCGTACTGAATGAGAAAAACTCACTTTCAAGTATTCTTTTTGAGTTTCCCTCGAAGTCCATGGCCCACTGGTTGAGGGAACAGGTCGCTAAAGTCACTTTTCGTCCCATGTTGTACAAGTTTCTTGTGTGTTGGTAGCAGGGGTCGAAGAGCACAGTATCAATCCGCGACCTTTCACCTAGAAAATAGTACGCACAAAAAATCCTTCAAAAAGTTACAGAATTTCTTTGAACGGTGATTTCGCAGTGTCAATTCGTCAAATAAAATCATATTGACAACCGAATATGAATTTATGGGGAGTGTTGTAAGATTCTTGTGTTGTATTACTGCGCGACGAATGTTGGACGAGTGAAGAGGCAGAAACTGCAGTACATCTGAACTCCGCATAGGGACGCCACTGATATGGCGTTTGACATCTGCTCTGTTCAATCAACTACACAGCTAGCCTCTACCAGGCTTGAGGGCACGGCTGGAATTATAGTAGAAATCGGCCCGAAATAGAGAGATAACACGCCGAGGGAGTTTAGCCATCCAGTTTACAGTTTGCCGACAAACTGTAAACTGGATGGCTAAACTCCCTCGGCGTGTTATCTCTCTATTTCGGGCCGATTTCTACTATAATTCCAGCCGTGCCCTCAAGCCTGGTAGAGGCTACTACACAGCTACAGGTGTCGCCGGGGCTGTGGGATCCAAACGTCCCGAATTCCATTCTATTTTTGGACTTCCGGACTTGAACTAGATCCAGGCATTCGGGGGAGAGACAATGTCAGCAAACGCTATTGTGTCAGCCAAATTTTCAACTTCTTTTGTTTCTCCCATAAAAAAGGGTGATAACTTTGCTAAAGCACACCTTAGTTGATGTTGCTGGTAATTTCATTATACAGTTGTGGTTTTGAATCACGTCACGCACTTGAACTAGATTCAGGTATTTAAGGAGACAATGCCAGCAAACTCTATTGTTTCAATCCAAGTGTCAACTTCTTTTGTTTCTCCCATAAAAAAGGGTGATCACTTTGCTTTGTTTTACAGTTGTGGTCCAGGCACTGACGCAAGACTGTACGTTTATCCTTCCAGTTTTGGCGCGTGTTCTTCTGTCCTCACTTGCCCTTTAATTTTCTGAGAAACCTTTATCCTCAATTCTCGCTAATTAGAATATTTCAAACGTGTAACGTTATATGGGTTGGACGTCTATACACAACGCAGTCTACAATCAGTATCAAGTATCCATCCATCCATTCATCCATTCATTCATTCATTCATTCATTCATTCATTTACTAGTATACGAATTCACACACCCTTAAGCTTTCGGGTTATTTCCTTCAACATGAAGGTCGTTGTACTGCCGGTAACTCGAGAACGTTTGTAAATGGGTTCAAAGTTTTTTCGGCTGTCCCAAAAGTTACGAGTGTATGCGTGCGTGGCATTTGTGCAGATACTGTGTATGTGTACGCGCGCATGTGTGTGTGTGTGTGTGTGTGTGTGTGTGTGTGTGTGTCAGTGTGTGTGTGTACACGCGCATGTGTGTGTTTACGTGTGTGTGTGTGTATGGTCAGTGTCTTTGTGCACGCGCGCGCGCGCGCGTGTGTGTGTGTGTGTGTGAGTGAGTGAGTGAGTGAGTGAGTGTGTGAGTGAGTGAGTGAGTGAGTGAGTGAGTGAGTGAGGGAGTGAGTGAGTGACTGACTGTGTGTGTGTGTGTGTGTGTGTGTGTGTGTGTGTGTGTGTGTGTGTGTGTGTGTGTGTGTGTGTGTGTGTGTGTGTGTGTGTGTGTGTGTGTGTGTGTCCTAGTTTATTACTATTAGTTATTTTGCATGCATAGTTTGCAGTCCAGTCTGGACATTCTCGCATGTCCACAAGTAAAGCGTAGTTCTGGATGCAACAGTCGCCTTGTGAACGTCCGCGTCGTGTGGGGTCGTGTGGCGCAATGGCAGCGTGCGCGACTCGGAATCAAGAGGTCCCGGGTTCGAGTCCTGACATGCCACCGATCTTGTGCCCTTGGGAAAGGCACTTTACGCGACTTTCCCCCACTAGACTCAAATAAAAATGAGTATTGTCTGTCCAGTATTCGTTTCTATGTGCGGGACACAACACCAGCAACAGCTGCCTCTGCTCCGTGTGTATTGTATTGTTGCAATTTCAATAAAATGAAAAACGTCCGCACAGTTTTTTGCTTATGTCACAGTTTCCGGCCGGTCCACAGGTGCACTTGGACTGACGTCAGAACTTGACCCCCTGTCACAGATGAAGTCACGACAGTCAATTTCAACAATACCCCCGCCTCGGGCATATGTCACCCAGGGTCATTTCAGGATAACTGTATATTTCCTCAATTTAGGCCACAGCAAGTCATTTTTATGGATGGCATCAGCGCGCGCAATAATTTTCGCCTGGTTTTGGAGGGGTAAAAACAAGAGATTTTGTTGCCCTCTGAAAGTGGTCAACATGTCAAAAATGTGCAAGGATGTCTGTTGCCATGCCGGAACGTGGATGGCAGATAAATATCAAGAGAGGAGACAAAACAAGGCTCTGATTTATTGTTTTGTCTTTTAGTTTGATGCAGTGATGTACGTGGTATTTCATATGATTACATTACATTACATATGATGGTGGCTGTGAATATGTGAAGTTCCCACTGAGTCAAGACCATCTGTACAATGATTGAAAAGTTGTTTCAGTGAGAAATGAATGTTGTAATAATTGGCAGCACACTAAGCACAATGTAGGTATCATTTAGTGTTTAACAAGATTTATGATGTCAAGATTTGAAAATGTACGAAACTTTTTTTTTTGGCCCGCCTTGTTTTTTTCGCCCTATCGCATTAGATTTGGAGTCTGCAGAGGATGTCATCCATGCTGTGGCCTTCGTCCTGCTGCAGTACCAAAGAAAGCCGCCAGGATCCAAACACGCCATCATTTCTTTGATTGGTCAAGACCTACAGTCAAGACCAAAGCGCACACCAAGTTTCAGAACAATCCACTGGTAGCTTTTTGAGATATGCGCTGCTAAACTACAAATAACCAATGCTACAAACGCTATAAAAGACATAACTGGTTCTAGGCAATAATAAGACTTCCGAAGGAAAGGAAATAATAAGAAATGCGAAAGAATAAAAGAAAGGAAGAACGAACGAAGGAAGAGTAGAGAAAAAGAAACGCCTCAACCCCAACTTACGTTACCTTCCTCGATATTAATGAAGAATGACATTCTTACTTCGCACTTACGCAATATTGGAATATTTATAGAACAAGGTCTTACAGTCCCATAGAGTGGGCGGAGCCTAAATACCAGCTGCCACATATTTCTCTTTTAAAATAACGGTCATCAAAAATGACTTTCTGTCAAGAAAGTATAAATAGCGCGTGCATCTGTAACTTTAGCAGTCTCGACTTGAAGAAAACAGGACTACTTGAGGAAGTGAACTGTCGCAGTCATGTGGTCTTTAGCTGTGGTTTCCTCCTTCCTCCTTCTTTCCTTTGCGAAGTGTCTGCCGCTGGAAGATCCTTTGTTGGCATGTCTTGCAGGGCACAGCGGTAAGTGATGTCCCTTTTAAGATACATTTTTCTTTCGCATTTCAGAAAGAAACACACAGACGCTCATCAAATGTCCTCTCTAGATTTCTTCCAGTACACATGTACAAGTAGACGCTCAATCAATTGCATGCAAAGTCATTTCTAATGGGGTTTATAGTTATACAATAGAAGAATATTGAGATTAAAAATCGATATTTCGATCGCAAACAGAATTCGTGGAAATTGAGGATTACTGTAAAACGAAATAAAAATATTCCAAGGCCCTTTACCAACAACGTAGGTAAATTGCAAACAAGACCCCTGGCCACCCTCAGCGTGAACTCTTGAAAAACGCCGGCACCGCAGTGTTCTTTCTACGATTTCAATGTCAGGTTGAAGCAGGTTGAAAACGCCATGTGGATGTGTCATATTCCTAGCAAAGCGTGGGTCAACTTATGGGACTTCTAATTCTACCCCATGCATGGATTTCCTTTGTACGAGTATAACGCCGCATGAAAGCCCTTTATATAGTTAATAGTACATCTCCGTGAATGTTTGGGCTGAGCTTTGTGCGACTGTTTAAATCACTTTTCCGAATTTGCTTTTACGTTTTGTGTTTTTTGTTGTCTTTTGGATCATACCTTTACATCGTCCATCATCTTCCAATACTAGTATCAACTTTTTGACAAATCCAGTTTTTGTCGCTCAATAGTCGTCCAGTGATCGCCTTCTATTGCAACTTGGGCCTCGGGCGATGCGGCTTTAGCCTGGAGTCCAGCCTTGTTAGCTTTATTCCGCTCCCCAAGATCCGCTACCCTGCCAACAAAAAAGCGGGTAACGGATCTTGGGGAGCGGAGAAAAGCTAACAAGGCTGGACTCCAGGTTATATGGACCTTGCTAAGAGAATAATCGGTAGTGAAGGGGAGATATAGATGCATGTAGCTTCTACCAGACTCCAGGAGCGGCTGGAAAGCGTAGAAACTGTGCTGGCATAGTATATGTCTACTTGGAGAATTTCTACTCTTTTCAACTGCTTCTGAAGCCTGGTAGATGCTAGAATATCGAGGCCTTTTCATGGATGTTTTTAGTTAATATATTTTTACTTTGTGTCCCAAATTGACCAGATTTAGACGTTCACGTCAAGATTTGGGTTTGACAGTTTGCAGCGCTGTCGAATGAATTTGATTGGTTTCGACTTTTTCGGGACAACCTCCCCCCAACCTCGCGACCACCTGTCGCAGTATTGTCTGAATCCTCGAGTGCTCGACTCTGAACCACGAGGTCCGGGGTTCGAGTCTTGACATGCCACTGATCTCTTGCCCTTGGAAATTGCACTTTACACGACTTTCCTCACTGAACTGTGTTTTATTCCTTTTACATTGTAATGTTTCCACTGAATCAAAACCATTTGTACAACGTCAACGATTGGAAACTTCTATTTTTCAAAGTTGTTTTGAGTGACAAATGGGTACCGGTGTTGTAACTATTGGCTGTAAACTTAGCACAGTATAGGTGTAATTTTTTTTGTTTAAGGTTTATAATGTCAAGATTTCAAAATGTAGGAATCTTGTTTTATTTTGCCCGCCTTGTTTCTTTTCGCCCTATGGCATTAGATTTGGAGTCTGTGGAGGATGTCATACATACAATTTACTTGCTGTGGCCTCACGCATTATTAATAGAATTGCTTCGTGAATGGGACAGGAAAGAAACAAGAAAACTCTGGGAAGTACGGTTTATTCCCCCACGACTTGAAACTGTAGTCTCTGCACACGTCTTTCAACTTCGTATGACGTCATGAACCGTGGCTCTTTGTGCTCGGGTTTCGGTAAAAATTAGTTTTCCGTTGATCCTTGACGCGGCACCGGTCACCCTGGCCTCCCACAGGTATTTATAGACCTGTATATGCCAGTCGCAATTAAGTCACGCAATATTAGCCAACCGAGCCGATACAGGGAACTGACTCGAAGTAAACTCGAAGTAAACTTCTTAGCTGAAAACTGTTATTCATACGTAACTTGTGTAGCGAAAGTATCCTATCAACCTGACACATGTGACAAGGTGGTCTAGGGTTGTTGACCGTCAGATACGTACGAGGTGCAAGCACTGTACCTTGTATACTGTACGTGTATCTGAGGTACGTGTTGCAGTACTAGTTACCTTCGCCAAGAAGGTTATGTTTTCAGAGGCGTTCGTGTATGTGTGTGTGTGTGTGTGTGTGTGTGTGTGTCTGTCTGTAAACACGATAACTTGAGAAGGCCTTGATGGATTGTCTTGATACTTGGTAGGTGGGTAGGTATTGATAAGACCTCAAAATGATTAGATTTTGGACCCCCTAGCGGCTTGTTATGGTACTGCAGCTGAACTTCCGGTTTTGATATCTCATGATCTAGACATGCTATGGTGATGAAATTTGGATGGTAGGTAGCTCTTGTGCTGGGGAAGAAGTGACATGAGTTTGGGCCCCCTAGCGGCTTGCTCTGGAACTGCAGGGATATATTCTTGAAAATATTCAAAAGGGGATAATTCAAGAACCGGTTGACGGATCGTCATGATTTTTGGTATGTAGGTAGTTTACGTGATGCTTAATATAATTATGTGACAATTATGCAAATATGGATGTAATTTGCATAATTTATGGGGAAATTCTATAAATCAGCTGCATTCTATGATAGGACAATTGAAGCTTGTGACATTGGTAATTGACAACGAGAGAAACACAGAAAGATATTTATTATGTTAATAATGACTTAATTTGCATAAGTAATGAGAAAATTTTATAATCATGTAATGATAACTGCCTGGAATTTCATACTTGTGGTATTTGAAAGTTAAGTTGAGGTGAACATCATTAAACATAATTTATTCAAATCAGGACCTCATTTGCATAATTTATTAGGAAATGCTAGAATGCATTGTTTGTTAATATAAGACTGTCTTTTGGTTGAGATTATGATAAAATGATATAATTCATGAAAATTAGGTTCCTATTTGTTAAATCAGGGGGGGGGAAATCTAATCTATAATTTGTCAGTCATAAAGATTAACATCATTTGGCGAAGGTATGAGATTGGGGAACTCTAGTTCTGATTAATATTGCTAGGTGGCGCTGTGAGACTGTCAGATGACCACCTGTTGGCTTAACTGGAGGTTATTAAAGCTAATTGTGAAGGCCAGGATTTGAGAAGGCATATTCTAATATTGTTAATATTTTTTTTTTATTCAGAAGCTCAATGAGAATTACAAATGAAAATACATGGACTAAGTGACTGCGAACTCAAGTTAGGTACAACTTATATTCTCGCAGCCACTTTTACAATGAAAGAAAAATATTTTACAAGACATTTAAAAATACATGAGACATCGCGTGAGTAACAATCCTCCCATCCCAGAAAACACATACAGTTAGAATCTTTTTGTTTCTAATATATAATTTTGTACGGCTAACATTATTTTGCAGTTGGTGTCATACGAACAAAGGAAACTACCGCGAAGAACTAAATATTGTATGGAATTATCAGAAAGAGTGTTTAAATCAACAATATTACCAAGTATGCTTGAAAGCTTGCCAAAAAGGACTAAGCGCTGGTAGGTGTATATAGGGCAGTGCAATAAATAATGAGCAATCGTTTCATATGGACACCCGCAGCTACAGGATGGACTTGTGACAAGACCCCGGGTATAAAGACTGTGATTCAAGCTGCAGGTGCCCAGACGAAGTCGGGTAATGAGAATACAGGAATAACGAGAACCAAAGCTAAAATAGTTTAACTTTACAGGACGTACCAATTTGAAAAGATTTGAACGAAATTTTGGATACGAAAGAGTACGGATTTCTAAATTCAGGTTGCTCCATCCAGTGATGGAATATGGTATAAAAGACTTTCCAAAACGATTGGTAGAAAATTTGATGGTTAATATTTGCTTAGCCCCATGAATTGAAACATGTTTAAAATTCTGTTTTGACATTTCATCTTAATCGTGGCGACCAATAAGTACTAGTTGCGACGTCGGACCGCAAACTAACTCTTACCCCTGCCGTGTTTGTAGGTCTGGAGAAACCCCCGAGTCCGGTCCCAGATGGCAGCGGCCGGCTGAAATACGTCCTCACCGTGCGTGATCACGACTCGGGTCCGATACAAGCAGACGGGCGGTACGACGGTGAGTCTACTGGTTCTATTTCTTCCTCCATGAAAAATGGGGGTATTGTTTTTGGTGTGTGTGTCTATCTGCCTGCCTGTGTGTGTGTGTGTGTGTGTGTGTGTGTGTGCGTGTGTGTGTGTGTGTGTGTGTGTGTGTGTGTGTGTGTGTGTGTGTCTGTGTGTGTCTGTGTGTGTCTGTGTGTGTTTCCGCACATTGTAGTCAGCAACTTCAGGACGCCTTTATGGATTGTGATGATATTTGGTATGTTGGTAGGTCGTAGGAAGACAAAGGTCAATGTCAAATATGGGTACAACTGTCGAGCAATAAAGTTCAATCATTCAATTCATCGTAGTTCCTCTGCCTTGTAAGCCCACGAAAAGTACAGCTTCTACACAATGTACATAGCGAATGTCATTAAGACCCCAAAATACAACGTACTTCTCGGGACAGTGTTGTATTTATTGTTGTAGTCATGTTTATCCTGCAGTGTCGGTGTCAGGGCAGTACGGCTCCCAGTTCCACCGGGTCGTGGTGGTGGCCAGCTGCGGGCGACTGCGACCCCTCCCGGGTGACACAGCGCTGCGTGCCGGGACATGTCTCGAGCTCTCCACGGTGGCCAACACAGACAGCCGCACCAAGAGCACGGCGTCCTTTACCTGGGTAGCACCGGGCGAGCGTCTTCTGGACGGAGAGTGCGTGACGATCAGGTTGGTACTGTTTTCTTTTCATCTTTTTTTTTTTCTTTAGGCCATGTTGATTTGATTATATGGATGACATCCTCCGGGAGCCCCAAATCTGATGCGCGCGTGCAAATAAAAAAAAAGTTTTGCAAAAAAAAAGTTCTTTTCATTATGAAACCTACGTGGTCATGAGGGTTGAGCAAATGGCACAGAATATGGTTTGGCGAATAATCTAGTCTTCAAGTTCATTTCTTTACAATGTCGTCTTTTTTTCGTTTGATTTTGGCATTCTACGACATTGGTATAGTTTTTATTAATTTTTTTTGTAACTCATGGTATATTTTTGCTCATTTTGCAACTGTTTTGTACGATTTACAGTATGGTTGAAAACTTTTTTTTTTGGAAACGGCCGAAAATTCATGCGCGCGCGGATGTCATCCATATAATCAAATCAACATGGCCTTACTCAACAAGATGTCAAAGATTTCATACCTTTGCTTTAGAGTTGTTATACATTTCTTGTTTTACTCATTGTTGTGAAGTTTATAAAGAATTTTATAAATAAATAAATAAAGTTCTTACTGATCCTGTGCATATTCCATTGTAGTGCACATACGATCCTCGTTTTCTACAAGCATGCGTGCAGGCAGACAATTTTGGCCTCCATGGTCCAATTTGACCTTCCTGTCAATATGTGGTCACGCCCTAACTTCATTTGACTCATTTGTCGTATTCAAATAGCCACTGGTACACTAACAAGTAACTAAACACATTGGAAACAAATACTCTGTACACGGAGGTAACAATTCAATCTAATATTGCTTCGTTGTTTTTTTCCTGCAGAGCGGCTGTCGTCGATGAGAAAAAGTTCCTTTACCAAAACGATGGCCCACTGACTGTACAACTGTGTGCCTCTTCAAAGCAACCAAAACATCCAGGACCAAACACAAGCAAATTACCCCAAACAACTATCAACGCCTTACAGACATCTCTGAGGAAGAAACCGATTTCATCTTCGGTGACCAGACCTATAGCAGCCTTTTCTTTAAGAAACCAAAATAGCTATAGCGGTGAAAAGAAGGGCATGCATGTATATCAAGTTCAAAAGAACACGGAGAGTGTTACAACGGCAAAATCTCAACTCTTGGACTTTTTAATCAAAGAGAAGTTCCAAAGCACCGACGGAGGGCATCCCGTGGGTAACTGGAAGATACAACCACGTTTCAGGAAGAAACAGCTACTGAACATTTTGGTCAGAAATCGGCGAGAGTCACCCTCATCGCGGACGGATCTGACAACAACAACCGAGGACGACCGCTCGCTGAAGTGGCGACTGATATCAAAGGGGTGTTGCCGGTCTGGCAGTCGTTTCGGAGCCAAACCCCACGATCTAAATTGCGACGAGGCGTCCAGAAAGTTTGTATCCAGCAACATCGCCGAACTGATGCACCTCCGAGCAGTCTGTGTGGAGGAATTTGCCTTCTGTTGCAAAGAAAAACGGAGAGACATGGGCTATTCCGTTGAAAGTAGCAGCCACGCAGGATCAGAAGTTGAACCCACAGAACCTCTATACGACAGCACTGGACAGCAATCTGAAACGACGATATCTGATTCGCCAACGGGAGACAGCTCATCCACAGCTGCTATGAAAGACATAACAATCCAGCAAGCTTGCTGTCTCAACGGACTTAGAACTGCCTATGACCCTGACAAGAGCTGTCTAGATGAAGGGGAGAGTTACATCAACCAAACGGCTGCAGATGACCTGGAATCTACCAACGAGGCAACGGGGTGCAAGCTTGAGTTCTCTCGATGTTGCGAGGCGCTGCGAGAACATGTTGGAGGCAGTAGTCCCCCGCCACAAGAAGTGGACTTGGCCAGTCTCGAAGACCTGCAGCTGACGCAGCATTGCTGTAGACAAGGCTGGGTCCAGGGACTGTCTCCCGAAACAGACTGCGCGCAGAACGCCATGGAGTACGCCCGGCTACCGCTAGGAAATTCCACCGACAGACAACTGCAATGTTCCAGCAAGTATACGGAGTGTTGCTCTACGAGACAGGCTCAAAATCTAGACCTCGATGCACTGTTCTATCCAAGTATCCATCCAAAGAAAACCCTGAAGTCAGCTGCGGCGTTCCCAAACCAGACAACCGATGGTGTTCAAAGTCTAAGCAATGACATTGAATCCATCATAGAGAGAATTTTACTGCAAACCCACGTAACAAACGTTTCACAATCAACTACAACATATCTTACGCTGGGAGAGCAAGAAACCAGTCAGTCAGAAACAAGCTCAGCAGCGCTAAGGAACTTTGAAATACACGACGATAGGATTCAATCTGTCACTGAAATACAAAACACCGGGCAACTGGCAGGTCCGACTACCGCCCCCTTGCGATCCGTCACTGAAGCGCAGATGTCACCGTCAATCCAGAGTGCACCAACACACCGAGCACAAAGCAAACTTAGCTGGGACGATATAGGCATGGACACGTTAGTAGTACTGTCAAAACACAGGCGTACATTACGACTGTGTTGCCTGAAGGGAAAAGCAGTAGTAGAGACCGCCCATCCAAAGTCCTGTCAACTGGAGGCAGACGGCTACACCCAGGGAGCCCGGTTAACCGACCAAGTGAGGCAGAGTTGTAAGGACGTGTTTGTGCACTGCTGCGAAAGCATGGACCCCGGGCACAGAGGACCAACACGGTCGTATGGAAGGAACATTAGACGGTTATTGGGGGACAGTGGGGAATACGTACACGGAAATAGAGAAATGTACTACAGCTGATCACAGAGAAATTTGGTACATGATACGGAACTGGACATTTGATCTCATCCATACCAAGGTAGGAACAGACTTCACAAAGCTTTGGAATTTAAAATTTCAGTGAAGAAGAGACTACAATGTAGTGAAGGATTCAAAAACTAATGTTCAACGCGCTATGAAAAAATGATGGATGTCCAAACAAGATGCAAAACTCACAGTACATACAAGTGTAGCGACCTAAAAGAAAGAAATATCACTGTCAGAGGCAGATATGCAGTTCTTGGCACATTGGCAACACCAAATCAATGTTAGGACACTCTTTACACAATGGATGTCCAGTGTGAGACATTCCACATCTATTGTACGGTTGAGCAAACATCAGGCATGTATGGGAATTGAACCCAGGACCTCTTGGTTCAGAGCAAAACTCTGAAAAACATACCAAAGTTGACATACAACCATGTAAACTGAAGCACAATAACTGCATCAATTGCTACATGTCTAATGCTCACAGCTGGCAATGTGAAAGATACTTAATGCAAGCATTGAGAAAATAGATTATTGATAAAATAGATAATTAGACAAATGCCTAATATATGATCTGTCTTTGACAGGCTATTTTGTGGGTATACTGAAAGTTGCACAATGTATAGATTAGTATATTTCTATTTTATTCAATACAATCATGTTGTTGGACTTGGATCTAAGTAAGAGTCTGGCATTATGTACATTGTATGTAAACCTAGAAATAAATAGTCTTCATGCGAAGAAGTGTCTTCATGGAAGTTCTTCTGTGTTGGTAGTAATCATAGTACGTTGCTTAACCTTTTTCCAATGCAAAGGTTCAAACAAATCAAATTTTCAATGACCACTGTTGCTTTATCATAAAGGCGACAGTGGTCATTGAAAATTTGATGTCTATGTGCCTCTGTGTTGGAATAAAGTTTAGCATCATACTGTAAAGAAATGTTGTTGTCAATGTAAAAGTTTCACATGCAACAGAAATGCATTGTAGTGGGAAATTGAAGACAGGAAATCACATAACCTTCAATTTCCTTTCTGAGACCTTTGACCTAACTTCCTGTAAGTGTTCCTGGTTGTCTAGCATGTGCAGTTAACTATACACAAGCAAACATAGTCATACAGAAAACAAAAACTTGCAGGTAAAAACAAAAGATTATTCCACCACACAAGAGAGAATACCCCTCTCCTATAACTATTTATAAAAGCTGTAGACTCAGACTCTATATAACTTAAATACCTTAAAATAATGTCCAACCTGAAAATTACAACTCTGAAAGACTTGAATCACTTGATATCAGCTTTATTTAAGTCAAGATTACCAAAGTATTAATAACAACTTTATTACGTATGTTTGGCAGAGTTCACATAATGTACCACTGGACTAGACAGTAACAACATAACTGTAGATAAAAACTCCCTTCTTTAATATTGAAAAAAATGGAATGATTAAGGTAGCAGCAAAACAATTCACACCTACTCCATGGCCTCCTATGGTGCATTACCATGTATCTGACAATGTACTGAAGAAAACTACATGTATGTACATTGTAGTACATGTACTACAATGTAGTACTGCCCTCTGACAGGATTAAGTGGTACTGCACCTACATGCCTTGATGTTTTTGCCTTGAGCTTTGGACTACTGGTATGTTCCAAAACTAAAAGCTGCAATTGTTTTAGAGAATGATCATACAGATTACAACCATCTTCTTTTTCCTTTCTAGATCATAAATTCAAAGACCCAATATATAGTTGATATGCCTGAGAGCAACAACATACATTTAATAAAAGTTGTTATGTACAAACTTGACCTAAAATACATTGTTACAGACTCTGACTGACCATTTTTGAGTATACTGGCTACAAAAAAATCCTTCTGTAATGACTGAGTTTAATGAATTTAAAAGGGGAAACTAAAATATCAGTACACGGGGCATGACTACCTGAAGCCTGTATATGACTGTCTCTTGTCATGTGATAATCACATCAAGTCACGTGACAACAGAACTCCAAGATGAGATCTTTACCGGGTTGACAAAGAGACAGAGTGTGTTTCAAAAGCTCCCCATAGTAGCTAACTTTTTGTTGTGTGTTCAGTTATAAATATTTGTCAAAAGGATACTTAAAGGTTGGGGCAATATCACATTACTCAATATTAGGAAACCCCATGCACAAATACTACTTCTGAGAACCCCCTTGTGAGCCTTGTTTTCCATCTGATGATGATTGCCTGTGAGAAGATACAAGAAATATGTTATAGCAAGATATTCAACACAGTCAGCAAGAACAGTTTAATACTTGAAATGCAGCCACTCTCCCATTGATCAAACCGATAATTGCCATGCTATCATTGGTTGAAAGGCTAATTGTGATGGACAGCTACCGGGGTACTGGATGGGTCCACTCATTAGCCTACCCCTCCTAGTTGGATGCACACAGAGTCCTCTCTACTGCAAATTCCACTGCCTAGGTAATTGTTTCAACCACAAACCTCAAACACTGTAAAAAAAAAACCTCTTTTCTGCTTGTAAGGCCATAGTAACTCATTTTTATGGATGACATCAGCGCGCGCATTAACTTTCGGCTGATTTTGGAAAAAAAAAAAAGAATTTTGTTGCCTTCATACAGTGGTCAACATGCCGAAAATGGGCAAAGATGCCTGTTGCCATGCTGGAAGGTGGATGGCAGATAACTATGAAGAGAGGAGACAAGAAAAGACTCTGATTCAATGTTAAATGTTTCTTACTTTGATGCAGTGATACGTGATGCTGGCTGTGTGTATGTGATGTTCCCACTGAATCAAAACCATTTGTACCATGATTGATTCAATGCAGGAACCTTATTTTTTTTTGGCCCGTCTTGTTTTTTTTCACCCGCTCGCATTAGATTTGGAGTCCGCGGAGGATGTCATCCATAAATTCACTTGCTGTGGCCTAACACGAAATAAAAGTCCCTGAGACCATAAGTGAATTTACGGTACTTACCCAGGCTGGGCGACCCTAGCTTTGGGCATCTTACTGAGCAGACTGAGGATCTCCTTCCTTTCATCGTACTGTTTCCACAGATCATACAGACGCAGGATGACTCGGGTGATCTCTAACATCTGTGGGAAAGTTTCCTTGTATTAGATCCTGAATACACTTGGCACCAAGAACTACCCACATACCAAATATCATCACAATTTGTCCTTTGCTTCTTGGGTTACTGTAAATATTGAAATGTTCTTGGTTATTTTCACAGTTTTCATTGTGACATCTCCACTATGTAATCAATCGCACCCCATTTAATATATATGTCTTTAAATGTAATACAGAGTTGTTTCCACAGCAAAAAATGCTTTTACCTCCTTCCGCAACCACTGCAAAAATAACTGCATTTACAGTATGTTGACCAAAGTAAGTCAGAAACAGACAAACACACAGAAGTTTTTCACAGAAGTGAAAACAAGAAAAATGATCATAAACAATTGAAGGCACAAAATCAAAAAAAAAATATACATGTACATGTATATGAAAACATCTACAGACATTCTGACACCCACCTTTTCCATATCAACTGACAATTCTGCAAACCAGTGTTTGGCATCTTTCTGAAGGATGACACAGGCCATGTGCAGCGCAGCTGTGGAGAGAAACATAGTGTCACATTTCAACACCTCAATTTACATGTTTGGTAATGGTTGGACAGAATGTAGCTTCCAATACGAACACAACCAAATTTCTGACATGTTACACAATAAGCTAATCACAACATTTAATGCAATTCATCTTAAGACAAATTTCTAGTCAGACAAGAATCATATTCACTGACACCACCTTAAACCTATTGTTAACAGTGAACTTAAAAAGAGCACCAATTTATAATAATAATAATAATAATAAATGGTTTTTATTGTCCAAACAGTACCCATGCAGTCGCAGCCTTTATACGGCTGAATTGATGCAGGGTATTACATGATAATCAAGACAAATCATAACAATCAAATGATACACATGATACACATATTTGTTCCACAAATTTTGTGGAACTGTCGCAAGGGTCTATACAGCAGCCATTTGGCGCCACAAGGTGACCTCAATATGACTTTCCCCAACCGAAGTCAGGTACCCATTCACACCTGGGTGGAGTGAGGAAATTCGTGTTCGTACTAGTACAAGCTAATGCCTAAACCATGTAACATCTAATGTCATGATACAGCTAGCTACAGTTATAGTTACTAACAGTAAGACTGTAATTGAAGACTTACCCAGTGCGATCATGAAGGGAGGATACAGTAGACAAACATCTGTCCGATAACTGTCATTCACTATTCGCCTGGAGATAACAGAAGAATATGATGAGATTGGTTATGCTTACTAGTACATAGGGTGTACGGGGCTAGTACATGCTACTAGTGTAGCGTTACATTGTACAAGCAGCAGGCCTGTCATGAAGAGAAGGAATTTGACTGTTTTTTTTACCCACCATGCCAGAGGCAAGACTGTGTCCTCCTGTCCCATGTCCTGTACATATGAGGTCAGAGGTCGGTATGGGTGGTACACCACCAAGCAGCAGTCCTGTTCAGAAGGAAAACAAAGGCTTTATAGACCAGTATCATATATTTTTACTACCTACCTCCATCAAAACACAGTAATGCAAAATAAACTAGAAAGGCCAATATTTGCTTTGGAGCAAATACAGCGATGGGTTCACCACATTTTACGACATGGCAGGGAAAGAATGAGAAACACAAGGGAAAACAATGATTTACATTGATATAACTATAATATGAAGTAACATACAACTAAAACAACAGTTGGATAGCTATTCCCTACTTTATTCGTTAGGATTTTTAATTGCATAATGCAAACTGTTGATTTTCAAAATAAAAAAAAAAACGTTACATGCCCCGCATTCTAATGCTGGAGCAGAAAAACTTGAAATACCTACCAAAACACTTGAATAAAGACATACTGTCAGTATGGAAATGCTCTGTGCAGGTGTTAATCAAGTTAAATCCCAACAGCCAATCAGCAAGAAATGCTCTGTGCAGGTGGAAATGCTCTGTGCAGGTGTTAATCAAGTTAAATCCCAACAGCCAATCAGCAAGAAGAAGAGAGGAAAGCTGCATGCCTATTGGTTGATGCCATGCATTCCATTGTGATGACTCATGCCCAAATGTGGTTAACACTGCCCACTGACACAGCAATACATTTGCTATAATACAGCCAAAAAACTCAAATAAAACCATTCTAAAAGCCTGTATCACAAAAATTAAAAAAACGCCTAAGGGTATTTGCCCACTGTACCTCCATACCAAATTTCAGGTCCTTAGGCCCCAAAATGAAGAAGCTGAATCCATTTAAAAAATGGCAGGAGAAGGAGGAGAAGAAGAAGAAACATCAGAAAAAGCAATATGGGTTACACCACCACTTCGTGGTGTGGTGAACCCATAAAAATAAAAAAGTAGACTAGAATAACAGCCATTCTCTCAATGGTTGAACTAGGCTAATTGCCATTCTTTCATTGGTTGAACTAGGCTAATTGCCATTCTTTCATTGGTTGAACTAGGCTAATTGCCATTCTTTCATTGGTTCAACTAACTTAAGATAATTACCATTCTTTCATTGGTTGAACTAGGTTAATTGTCATTCTTTCATTGGTTGAACTAGGCTAATTGCCATTCTTTCATTGGTTCAACTAACTTAAGGTAATTGCCATTGTTTATTGGTTGAACTAGGCTAATTGCCTTTCTTTCATTGGTTGAACTGCTAATTGCAAGTCTCTCTCATGATTGGTCGAAATGTGAGGGACATTTGTCCCTTTGCTTTTCCTTTTTTCCATCCATCTTCGCCTGTTCTCTCTTTCTCCCTCTAACTCTTGCTCGTTCTTTCTCTAGTGTATAAAAATGTGAAAAGACTCACCATCATTTCTAATAGGTAGAATTCACATTCTAGTACCTGGAAAATATTTCATCATACCTTAGTTATGCTTAAAAACAATATCATTAAATAAAAAAATGTACATGCAATAGACAAATACTTTGATATCCATTAACTCTTAACAAATCAAGGCAAAAATTCAATGTACATGTATCATTTCTACTTCATTATGATCACTGCATCTAAAATAAACAATTACATCTGTAATGCATGTTTGAGAACTTACATGGTTTATTCTGTATGGAAACTCCTGGTTGAAGGCATAGGAGAACTTGTTCTTTACTGTAATTAAAGACATACAAAAAGAGCATTTCATAAAATATAATCTTAAGATGAGTTGTTGAGTGTACCATAGCCATGCTGAAAGTGCTACTAATAAAAAACGTGTGTTACACACACATTCAGGTAATAATATTTAGCGCTAGAAGGCAATGCATTTGATGCAGGGCTGGAAATACCGGGTGCATGTGTACCTTGGTGCACCCAAAATTGGAGCTGTGCATCCAATTTTTTTCTGTGGGTGCACCAGTGAACCCAAATATTTTTGTAGGTATTTTTGTACATATCAAGTGTGTCACAGTATGCAAGATATTTCTGGCATACAAGTGTCAGAAAAATAATAAAAATATTTGTTGTAAGTTAGCCCCCATTTCAGATTTAAGCTTAGAAGAGGAGCAGTAAGATCTGTAATTAGTTTTAGTTTTATATGGTGCACCCCCAAAAAATTTTGTGCACCTAATTTTTTAGGTTGGATGCACCAGTGCACCTCTTCCCAAAAAAATGAATTTCGAGCCCTGTGAGGTGTTGCCAAAATCTGCAAATCAACATGGAAAACATAAGGCACTTACTGACAGTCTGACAGGCTGTTATAAGTCTACTGTTTGATATGACACCAAACTCCTGAAATGTAGGAAACGCAAACAGTTCATTTAAACAGCAACAACAAAAACAGGTTATTGACCAGGTATCATTTAATTCAGTAAAACCACTTACTTTGTCTAAGTCAACAATACAAGTTGAATTTTTTTTTTAAATTCCAACATGTAATCACCAGACGTGGTGACGACACACTCAAGTTTTTTTCAACTATTAATGCCGCCACCAACACAGGGGACAAATACATGACAGGACAATACTCATATACACCTGAGCTAAGTGAGGAAAGTCGTGTTAAGTGCCTTTCCCAAGGGCACAAGATCGGTGGCATGTCAGGACTCGGACCCGGGACTCTCAGTTCCGAGTCGCGCACTCTGCCGCTACGCCACACGACCCCACTTGAAATATTACTGGTACAATTTTGTATTTGCATGAGCTAAATAAATGGCAAGGCTGATAACATATTCTTTGATGCCTTTACATTCGTACTACTGTTGGAATTACAATACAGGTACAGTATGTGCATATTGGATCTTTAAATCTTGTGCAAGTCTTCAAAGGCTGTGATCGAATGGCATGGTTAGTCCACTAAGCCCAAATTTAAAGTTACCAGGGTTCTAGCTAGCACAAAGTAGCGTAGGGGCCCCCTATGCTAAAATTTTGCCCCCTACGCTATATTTCTCCCCCTACGCTATAATTTTGACACCCTACGCTAAATTCCCCCCCCCCCTACACATACAGCATTGGGGTATTGTGACTGTTTCTTTGTTCAAGAATGCCAGATCAAATGTGGAAAATTACCAATCAAGGATACATTGTACATACCTTAGAAATAACATTTTTTACCTTTGGGTATCCCTCAAATGGCCCCTTTTTTAGCTCAAATTTTTAAAAGCTCCGCACCACAGAAGGAGAGCCCATCAACAGGCGGCCAGTACCACTACGCTAAAATTACATCCTAGCTAGAACCCTGGTTACAGATACATATACGAAATGTAATTATTTAATTGAGCATTTTCTTGATGAGATGGCAAGTCTTACCTCCACTTTGGATGCCAGGAATACACAGGTTGGCCCCATTAATAGTGGGTCTATTGTCCTAAATGAGTATCTGAGACAATACAGATGTAACGTTATATCATTAGAATGACATTTGATTGTAAATTGTAAGAAAATATGCACAGTCTCAATAAATATGTACTAGCTGTATGATCATTACACATCAAATTCGAAAGAATCTTTCTTAGCAAGGCAACAGATTTAGCATATGTTACATACATTTAGAAAGTAATGATTCCTTATCTGTGTGATTCACACATTCAATGGGAGAA